TGTGAAGACTGAACTTCTTGGGCTTTTTAGGTGGAAGTCACCAAGAAAAAGAAAGACATGTGAATATTATTCTTTCCCCTTTAATGTACTCTTTGCAGTCTTGCAAATGCAGCGCATGTATGTCTGTATGTATGTATTTTTGACTGACTTGTTGACCAGGACCACCGTCTATACTGGTAGAAAGTGCACAGAAGGATGAGCCAGAATTTCCCACAAGAAATGCTGGCTTCTTTCAACCAATCATAGCTGAAGATGCTGCGGATGTGGCACTGAATGACATCAAGGAAGGCCTCAAAGGTGGCCTTGAAAGACAGGTGGTGGGGGATTCTGAGAATTTCTTGGCAATAACATTCAAGCACCTTTTTCCTTTGGCATAGATGGTTCCTGTAGCACCTTTTATGAGCGCTGGAAATATGCCACAATGTGTGCATCTTTCCAGGTCTGACAGAGGCAGGCCAGGCATTTTTAAGGGAATGATCTCATATGTGCAGGCAGAACTCTGAGCATGAGTCACTGCAGCACCTTAATGCTGGCAGCGTGTCACAGTGGAAGCGGACGTCTGACTTGAGAATGGAGCCTTGTCCTGCGTCTGCCCATCACCAGTGTGTGTATCTCGTTGGATCGCTGATCTATCTGGTTGATGACATTTGGTGAAAAAATATCTCTTGAGTTCTCTGAACTCTGAATCTTACTACAACACTGCAAAGGGCTTTGTACTTGAGTTAAACTTCTCTTCCTTTAGAGTCTTTTGGAGAATCTCCAGAATGTGGATCTCAACAAGACATAAATGGAAAGACCAAGAATACCTTTGGAAGCCCTATCCAAGGGGCCTGTGCTGCAGTACTTTGAGTGCTAGTCTTTCCAAATCTTCTCCACTGCCCACAGCTCTTCCTGGAGTGGCAGGAAGCCTGTATGGATCTTAGGTCTTGACTCAGCAAAACCAGATTTGTTGGCCCAAAGTAAATGCCAGCAGGTGGTTTTCCTGAGTTTAGAGTGGAACTGACCCAAAGAAAAGAAGAAAACAAGAGTCTTGATGGTCACCCAGCTTATGTTCCTCTTGTCTGGCAATGTGTTAGCTCCAGCCCGTGTCGGGGCTGGCCCTTCAACCCTTGCAGAGTATCTGGCAGGACTGGGCGAAGTGGGTGCAGTAGAACCTTAGAAGCTCCCCCAGAGATCACCCAGCTGTGAAATGGGGCCCTGCAGCACTGTCAGTTTTGCTCAGAGTACAAGTAAAAGTCTGGTGTGAGCATTACTGCTGGCTATGCCTGTCCTGATGCATTGAGTGATGGGCGTCTGTGGCTGAGCTTCAGGAAATGACGGTCTGCTCATGGAAGACTTTGTTTTGTCCTTTTAGGATTGTGAGCACCCAGCTGCCACCTCCTCTCACTGCCAAAGTTCTCCTCC